TGAAATATCATGTTCTCACTTATTGCTGGGATATATATATAAATAAATAAATAAATACATAAATACATAAATACATAAACAAACTGGGGCAGCGGGGAAGAAGAAACAACAATCACAATTCCTTGAACTTGTTAAGAGAAGTGAACAGATAAGATGTTGATGGGTGGGAGGGGGGAAGAAGGAATCGGTAAAGGGACATGAAAATCAACTACATTGTATATTGATTAAATAAATATATAAAAATAAAGGAAAAGTTCATGACATGAAAAAAAAGAATGAAAGAAATGAAATAGAGAATAGAAAACCAATTGAAAATCACCAACACTAAGAGCTGGGTTTTTGAAGGATGAAACTGACCAACCTTTAGCTAGACTAAGTAAGAAAAAAAGAGAAGACTCGGCCGACCCGGTGGCGCACTGCTACAGTGCACCACTTGGGAGCATGGCGGCACTCCCGCTGAGGGTTTGGATCCCACATACAGACCGGCTGCTCACTGGCTGAGCGAGGTGCGGGCGCGACACCGAGGGTTGCGATCCCGTTGCCGGTCCCGGTCCGGTACGGGCGCGACACTGAGGGTTGCGATCCGTTGCCGGTCACGAAAAAAGACAAAAAGGAAAAAAGAAAAAGAGAAGACTCAAATAAAATCAGAAATGAAAGAAGAGTCATTACAATTGATGCCATAGAAATAAAGAGAATCATGAGAGACTACTAGAAATAACTATGTGGCAAATAAACTGGATAACCTAGGAGAAATGGATAAATACCTTGAAACAAACAACCCAGCAAGACTGAGTCATGAACAAATAGGAAATATGAACAGACCTATAACTAGTAAGGAGGTTGAATCAGTAATAAAAAGAATCCTGAGAGAGGTGCCCAGCTGAAGAAGCGGTAGAGCCCCAGAGACCATGCACCCTGCAGTACCAGCATGCGACCCAGCAGGTAGGCTTTGCCGCCGCCACCCAACTCCATTTCCAGTCTGGCCGAGTGCATGCTGACCAGAGAGGCACCTCCCCGGAGAGGCCCAAGACCCAAGGTGACCACACACCCAAGGCACTAGTGGGCAATTGAGCAGACACTGAGGCAGCCATACCAAATTGGCAGTCAGAGCAGCATCCTAGCCAGACAATAGGGTCAAACCAGTGGACCATGAAATCCCCTGCCACAATGACTAAATATCAAAGGAAAGATACCAGAAATATGAAATATCAAGAAACGAAACCACCAAATGGTAATAACTCTCAAGCTCTAGATCCTATAGAACAAGAAGCCCTTGAAATGTCTGACAAGTAATTTCAAGTGATAATTCTAAGGAAACTAAATGAGAGACAAGAAAACTCAGCTAGGCAACAGGATGAAATGAGGAAAAGTATACAGGACCTGAAAGAAGAAATGTACAAG